CCAACCCCCCAATCAGCCCTACCCTGAGCGTGACTGAGGATGGCATTGCAACCTCCCGATCCCCCCTGCTCTGTGCATGACAGGGGGTGGCGCCCCAACTCCCCAATCGGCCCTGCTCTGAGCCTGACCAGGGGCTGCACCCAGGGATTGGGCCTGCCCTCTGCCACCTGGGAGCAGGCCTAAGCCAGCAGGTCGTTATCTCTGGAGGGGTCCCAGACTGTGAGAGGGCACAGGCCGGGCTGGGGGATCCCCCTCCCCACCCCCCCGAGTGCACAAATTTTTGTGCACCGGGCCTCTAGTAAGGTATAAAAGGAAATAGCAGTGTATCAAATAACATATATATATATATATATCCTCAATTTTTGCTACAATTTCATCCTATCTGCATTATTATTTACTTTTATTTTAATAAATCAACTCACTTTAAAACTTAAGTATGTTTATTTTAAAAACACTATCATGTATGGAAGAAGCACTGCTTCATATAAATAGAACATAGCCAGAAAGATAAATCTAATGAAAACAAACACATATATGTGATATGTATCATAAATATGTGACATATTCCGTATTATGTATATACACATAAATTGTGAATAACACATATATGTGTGATGGATATTGTATGTGATATTCATATAGGAATTATACTAAAAATATTTTTGATTGTCAGCTACCAGCAACAGAACAGATGCCTAACCAATCAGGAGGAAATATCACTCATATACATATTATATGTATATTACATATGTACACATACACATACATATGGTCAACTCTCTTTTTAACTTAAATACATTTATTTTAAAAGTTATAATCATATATGGAAAACCAGTACTGCTTGATATAAATAGAAGACAGCCATAAAGATAAACCCAGTGGAAAGTAACAAGCAAAAAGTGCATTTTAGCTGGAAACTGACTTGTTGGCCAAGGGCTCTGAGCCAGGGAGGAGGGACTGCTCAGTTGGAGGGACCATCAGTTGTCTGCCCAAAGACACTGCAGAGTTCGGAAGGCCAAGACCGCTCTCACTTCTGACACCAACTGCGTTTGTCCCCAAGGCCACCCTTAGGTTCAATGATTCACTGGAAGGACTCACAGAACTCACTGAGAGCTGTTATACTCTCAGTTACAGTTTATTACAGTGACAGGAACCAGGTTAGTATTTGCCAAGAAAAGAGACACTTGGGCCGAGACCAGGAAAGTTCCAAGCACAAAGCTCCCAATTGTCCTCTCCCAGTGGGGTCGTGGACAGTGCTACCTTCTGGCAACTGTGTGACAACTTGCATGAGGTACTGCCAACCAGGGAAGCTCCCGCAAGCCTTGGTCCAGAGCTTTCATGGGCGCTCAGTCACAAAGACATCACAGACCAGCCACACGGCCACCTTAGTTTCCAATCCCTTTGGAGGCTGAGCTGGTGCCTGTGGCCCACAGACCCCCCCCCCCCCCCATCAATCCCATGGTTAGAAAAAGCCCCAGGTAAAGAAAGACGCTCTTTAGAGGCAGCGCATTCCAGGGGCGTACCTTCCCGGAGCTGAGGGCAAAAGTCAGACCTCTCTTTGGGTAAGGTTAATTCTTTACTACACAGGGCCCCCCTCCCTCATATCATTTGATGCATTAAAAGATATTCAAAAGTTATACACTCTCTCATGATGGGATTCAATGTGATTAGTATTTGGGGCCTAAAACCATTTCATGTCCACCACTGGAGCCCAGCCTGGCCTTGAGTATACACCAGGCTCCTGGGCAGATCAAGGGCAGCGCTGACCCACCGCATGGATGATTGGGGGATTGGCACTCTGGGTCCATTCACCGCTCATTCCATCTTCCCTGGGTGAGATGAAAAGCTAATCCTATGTTTCTCAGGTACCCCTGAGATGGGGTTCTGGATGTGGCTCCAGCTCTGCTAATTAGAGGCCCTCATATGAGATTTAGAAGGTCAAAGAGAACGTCTTTTTGCCTAATTGACTATATTCTGCTGCCGTGTTTGTGAAGGTGATGAGGTTTTCAGTGACACCATTCCAGTATCCAGTCACTAACCTGTGGGAATTAAGATGCAGTTACACACACACACACACACACACACACAAGATATCTAAATGGTCAAGAAACACATGAGAAGATGCTCAGTATTATTAATCATCAGGAAAAATAAATGAAAATCAGAATGAGACACCACCACACACAGAATGGCTAAGATGAAAAAGACTAACAATACCAAGTGTTGAAAGAGGGTATGGATCAAGTGGAATTTTCATTCATTGCTGTAAATTGTTACAATCACTTTAGAAAACTATCAGTTTCTTTAAAAGATAAATGTAAACTTAACGTAAGACCCAGCAATTCAATTTATAGCTATTCATCCAAGAGAAAAAAAACCAGATGTCCACACAGAGACTTGTACATGAATGTTTGTAGCAGCAATATTTGTAATAGCAAAAAACTGAAAACAACCCTAAAAGGCCATCAGTACAGGTGAGTGGATATCAGCTGTGGCATTTGCGTGCATAGAATAGTGCTCAGCAATGAAAAGGGGGAACCACTGGTGCACACGACACACGGACAAATCTCAAAAGCTTTATCCTAAGTGAAGGGAGCCAGATACAGGAGTCAGACTGTATAATTCCACCTGTATGAAGTCCTGGAATGAGCAAAAGTAACTGACAGTGATAGAAGTCAGAATAATAGTTGCCTCACCCTGGCTGGGTTGCTCAGTTGCTTGGAGCATCATCCAGTACACCAAAAGGTTGTGGGTTCGATTTCCATCAGGGCATGCACAGGAGGCAAACGATAGGTATTTCTTTCTCATATCGATGTTTTTCTCTCTTTCTCCTCTCTCTCCAAAATCAATTAAAAAAATATCCTCTGGTGATGATTAAAAAAAAAAAAAAGAATAACAGTTGCCTCTACTATTATGTTGCCTCTACTGTGGGGATGTGGGGTTGACTGAGAAGGGGCATAAGGGAACGTTCTTGAAGGATTGAAATGTTGGGTATCCT